AGCCCACACCACTAGACTGACAGTGACCACACAGGGAGACAATTCTGGGAGGAAAACCAGCAGTAAGAACTGTGTTTCTGTGTTGTGTGGTTAACTCTTTGCTGGTGTTCCTGAGCGGGTGCTTGGCAGCATCAGGTGTGCATCTACCCTGGTAGCGGCAAGACGTGGAGAGGGAGATGTGCATCGGCGAGCTCTTGCTTTGGTTCAGCTGTATTGCAAAACTGTATCCTTTGCTGGTTTTTGTCTTAATCTCCCATGCTAGGAAAGGATGGATAAGCCTGTGGAGGTACCTATCCATCCATTGGTGACAGAGCCGGCTGAAGTTTAGCCACCTCAATTTGAGGTAGCAAAAGGATGCGTGAGATGAATCCTCTCATCTCTCTCTGTTGACCAGCCATCGCTACCTCCCCTCCCCATGCTTTGGATGACCTTATCAGTTCTCAAGCCTTTGAGTGGGGATTGCAGGCTCATAGCTCTTGAGGTGCTGTCCATGGGCATGAACCAGCTTTGTAGCGTCTCCTGGTCTCCTCAGAAGATAAATATTTGAGCCATAGTAAAGGCCAGGTTGGAGGAAAGAGGGAACAAATCTATCAAATCAGACGGGAAAAACCTCTAAATGCTGAGGCAAAGGTCATGCCAAGGAAGTGAGAGAAGCAAAAGGAAATACGTCCTTTCAGCTGAGGAAGGGAAAAGCTCCTCTCCGTCCCCTTGAATCAGTCTGAGATAATAAGGCTGCTGCCATTCTGATTAGTGCTCTGTGGCCCCAGCCCAGGCAGGGAAAATCTGCATTTCAAATGGCATATTTTAAAGTACACAATACCCAGGGGCCCTGCTGCTATTGATTTGCCTCTGGTGGGGTCACTGCCTCACTTTCTACAGCTTTATTAACTGGGACCATACAGTGGGCCTCTTTCAAAGTGAAAGGAGAGTGGATGGCATATTTGTCTTCAGGGGGAGCTGGGGAAGGAGTGGAGTGACTTTTATTTGAGCTCACTTGGGAATGCCCCAGAGGTTTTATAAGGAAGACTGGTGACCCTTACAGGACTTGCCCTCCTTTTGTAAATTTCTCTGGAGCCACCCTGGAGGAAGGAGGTAGGTCTATGCTGTCAGCTTCTTTCAAGGTGACCGTCTTTCCACCCCGGCAATGCCACTGCACTCAGCTGGGCTGTGACCATCAGCCTCTGGGCTGGGAAGGACCCCCTCCCCCTTTCCCCTTAACCTTTACCCCTGAGCGGCTCCGACCAGAAAGGGAAGGGCATGAAAAGGAAACGTGACAGCAGAAGGGTGGCAGGAGTGTTGCCAAGGGTTGAGATGTCCAGACGTGGTTGGGACGTGGTTGGGGTCCCCTCTCCAGCCAAGGAAGCAAAGCCAGTTAGCTGGGGTATGTGGCTATGTTCAGGTATGGGATGCTATACTCCTTCCAGCTCTGGAGGAGACCACAGTTTAACCCACGGGCTGGCTCTGAAGGCTGCAGCAAGGTGTACATCCTCTGGGTCATGAGGTACAGGGCTCCAACTCATTTCACCATGCCAGGGGGGTTTCCAGGTATCCAGGGCATCTCGGGTATCCCCAGAGCACTGAGCATAACAGAAATGGGGTGGCTGCTCCCTGCAGGATGCCTGCTGTAGCAGAAGCAACTGAACCTAGTTTCCCAAATCACAGGTTAGGACCTTATTTTTACTGCATTAGCTTTTTAACCCTAAGCTAAATTTAACCTCTTTGCTCCTCAAGCTCCTAATTCAGTCTCTGTGGGAGTATGGCCAGTTTTAAGCAACTGTTTCACTGAAACCCACCAGGCTTTAGGCTGCAGACCCTGCACTTTCAGCACTAATCAGCAGATTAGGATCGTGTAGTTCTCCCCAAAAGGAGAGAGACCTTTCTGAAGGTCTGTGACAGAATTGCATGAATGACATTACACTGCTAAAAGAAGCATGCATGTGGCCAAGGTATGTTCTACAAACATGCATCTTCCAGTGCAAATTTATAACTCCTCTGAATACACAAGAAGCCGCACACTCAGGTTACCTGGTTTGCAAACCAGGAGGACACCTGCCATTGTGAAGTTAACTCTGAACAGCTTAGAGACATCCATAAGCAGGAGAAGAAGTTGCATAAACCATAAATAATGTCACAAGTGATTGCCTAGCTCTGCTCAGTGTAAAAGGGAGATTGTCTTTGGAGAAGCACAATCATTTGTACTACCATTGGCAACGCAGTATCTTTTAGATAGACCCCTGTTTCTCTTGCAGCACAGGTGAAACACAAATGAAAAAAGGATTAACACTTTTCTTTTAAATAGTTGGGAACCAAGGTCCAAAAATATCCACCAAGAGGCAGGTAAGGGGTGGGAATGATTTCATCTGACTGTGTTGGTACGTGCAGCTGAACTGATCACCTGGGACTCCACATACAGTCAACAGGGAGAAACAAAGCTGCACTTCATCTGCCCAGAGGCATTCGGGTACAGAAGGAAGAGATGAATCTTGGCCTAGACTCCTCTGTCTATTATCAAGTCCACTGTAATAGGTGACCAGCTCAGAGGAAACCCTATCTGTATTCAGGTTACTGAATCTGAAAATGGGAAATGCCAAAAACATAGTCCTCTGTCTGCCCTAGAAGGTCTCTGGTACAAATACCAGGCTGTTATCTGCCAGCCAGACTGACCACAGCACACACATGACCAGCCATATGTCACTCCATGTTTTGAGGTGGGTTCATGCAGCTCTGGTCAGCTTTGGAGAAACACACAGAAAAGTCAGCAAACGCCAGACTGTGACTGTCCCAGCCCTTGCAACTGCATCCATCTCAGAGATGCTACTTTGATCAGCAGCACTAAACAGATCCTACAGACACAGATCTTGGCCATCATTTCTGCAACCGGCCGGTTATACCCTCAGTTGTCCCCAGGTGAAAATAACCAGCACCGAAAATGAGATATGGGTCAGCACACCCAGCGCTGGAATCAATCCAATGATAAAGATGGATGGATTCCCACTTCCTCATTCACTTCATTGGCATACTTACTAAAATCACCTGCTCAGTGCCTTCTCTGGAGAATAAACTCAAACAATTCCTAGAAACAAATGTAGTCCTTAAAGGGGAATCAGCATTGTGCTATAATAGAAAAGATTGTCTAATCACTCCATCAGTAATTACAAAGAACAGGTTACCACTAATTAAAATGTGAAAGTCTCTTATGCAGGGTATAATAAAAAGGGTAATTAACAATCAAAGGGAAAGCCACCACCTTGCCACCAATCTGCATTAGGCTACAAAAAGTAATAGTACTCAGCTCTAGTACAGCACTTTTCATCTGTAGATCTGAAGGCACTCCTACATGGGGAGGCAGGTATCCTGTGTCCCATTTTATTGCTGGAGAAACCAATACAAGTTTATACAGCTTGTGCACAGTTATACAGCAGGTCAGTGGCAGAGCATCCTTCATTTTGGTCTCTTCACAGATGGTGACAAAGAAAGTTTCAGCATTTGAATGAGCGCAGTGATTTCAAGGATTTGTTTCAGTGTGTATGTGTATGAACAGCTAACTTAGCAATATTTCAATATTAAACGGAAGAGTAGGGAACGGTCTGTTCCTTGCCATGACTTTTGAGGTCTGTTTAATGCTGCGAAGCATGTCCCGTATGCTTAAACAACAGCATCAGAAGGTGATTTCCTGATGGGAGAGAGAGTGAAATCACAGAGAGCAGTAAAACAGAGGTACTCCAATTCTGGAGACAGCAAAGACATGAGTCACTTCTAAAATCACTACAGAAAAAGTTTCCTTCTCCACTATTATCATCAAGTCATGCATTACCAGAGGCTGGGGAATGAACAGAGTGAGTTTTCACTCTCTGTTCATCCTCTTTCCCCCACACTTTCTCTAAGCATCCACCACTGGTCACTAGTGGGGGCTGGATACGGACTCAGACGTACCTCATCTGGCTCTTCGTACAGCTCCAGGGAAGGGGACAAGAGGCAACTTCATCCAAGCTGCCTTCTCCTTCACACCAGGAACATTTTACAAGCCCACTGCAGCCATACTGTACACATGAACTGCAACAACTGTGTGCTAGATTCAGAGTGTAATATAATGATAGCGAAGTCTGGTTTTAATGTAAGAAGCATTTCCAGCATGCATAACCATTCACTACCCTTCTGCTCCAAAATTTTTACCCCCAAATGCCTGAAAAAACTAGCCCGGGTTCCTTGTTTCTGCCTTTTTTAGGTGTCCTAAAGGAAGCAGCATTTTAATTGCTTTCTGGAAAAAAAATAAAATCAAGGAAGTCATCCCAGATCAAAACCACAGGGGAGGGTTTTTCCAACTACACAGTATTAATCTTGCTAAAGTAGGGGAGCTCCCTTCTCTTGTATAGCTCTTCCAGGAGTCTCTGCTTGCTTGTGTTGGAAATAGGTGCTGTAATCTGATTAGAAGATTTGGTCATGGTTTTGCTCAGTGCCCACCAGAGGCCTCCCAACAGCATAAGAAAAAATTATTTTTGTCACTAACAGATGAAACAAATCAGGTTATCCCCAGAGAACCAGCTAAGCTTGCTGCTCTGGAGAGGGCATCCCCTCTCCCCACCACTTCACATACACTGGTCTCCCATCAGCAGCCACCAGTGCTTTCCCAGAGCTTTGCTACATCATAAACCATGAAACCTCTTCGCTCAGGAATGTATAAAGTCTTCTCTCTGCCTTTCTCACCAGGAAAGGGCTAGGGATTCAGAGGGCTGAGTCCAACTCATGGGAGTCCTCCACAATGGGGAACACATCATGGGAGTGGGGACCAAAAAGACCCCAACATGCAAAGATGCATTTTGCCTCCGGCCCCTATAGTGACAAGGAAGGCCAAGCCTGGAGGGTACCACAGGCATGGCGGGCTGACATCTCAAAACAGAGGGATACCTCACACCCTCACCGGGTCCCCATCCCGGTGCCGGTGCCACGGGCTGCCCTTCTGGTGACCGCGTGATATTTTTTCCCTGCTCTCTTTGTTCCAGCTGATGCAGCAGCAAGCCGCGATCATGGCTTCGGTGGCGCAGGGTGGCTACCTGAACCCCATGGCAGCCTTTGCCGCAGCCCAGATGCAGCAGATGGCAGCTCTGAACATGAATGGCCTGGCAGCCGCCCCCATGACACCAACCTCAGGTAAGGGGCTGGGGGGTTGGAAAGGGCAAAGGGCAGGAAAATCTGGCCAAATCCCAGAGGAGACCTGGCAGGATATGTTAGCTGACAGATTCTCCCCCAGTGGGTGTTTACTGAAATGTTGGTCTTGTTGGTGAAGCCCATCAGAAAGTGAGGAGTGGAGCTGACCAGATCCTTTTGTGGTCTGGGAGAGGGACATGGTTTAGTGGACATAGTGGTGTTGGGTTGACGGTTGGACTCGATGATCTTAGAGGTCTTTTCCAACCTTAATGATTCTATGATGCTGTGAGGGGGAAAGGGGCAGAGAAAGGTTGTTACCGCCTCTTCCAGGGCTGTGGCCAGCTGCAGGTCAGCTTCTGTATCGTGAAATAGTTGTAAGGGCAAAGTGAAACAGCTCACCAGCAGTGGGCTGTTGGGCTAGCTGTGCCCCTTGCTGAGTGGCACTCACTGGTGGAAGAGTAGAGCAAGAGGGTTGAGACCCACCAGAACCAGGATGCAATGGGCTTGTTGGGGAGGAGGAAGGGTGCTGGCAGGGAAGACACTGGAAAGGACTTTCAGCCATGACCCTTCCCTCTCAGCCTTATCCCTTACACAACATTCCTTTAGCTCTGAGCACCCTCCAAATGGCACAAAACATCCCCCAGTGACCTACACTGGTTTATTGGTGGTGAATATAGATGTCCAAGGAGTCAGTGCTGATGCTGTCACAGCCAGGCTGGTCCAAAGACAAAAAAAATAAAGTTTGTGGTGAGATGTAATATCATTAACAAGATGAGCTATGTCTTTTGGGACACATAAACCTTTCCCCTACTGTGAAATAGGACAGGAGGTACTCAGGGAAGACCTCTGGTGCTACCTGGAATGCAAGTGTTTGGTGAGAGGGTTTCTGGCTGCTGGAGCAGAGTCAGGTAGTCGTGAAGGGCTGCCAGGATCTGGCTAGGCTGTGAGGTGTCACAAGAAGCCCATGCTAGGAGCTGCAGTATATGATTCAGTGGGCAGACAATTAAGCTAAGATGGAAACAGGACTGGCTTTCCTGGGGCTTGAAGCACAAGGAAATAATTTGGGCAGGAACAAGTCAAGGAACCAATAGGGCTGGTAGTCATGGAACGGCATATGACCTAACAGTGGGGAAGTAGGGCAGAAGGGAAAGTGGGGCTGAACCATGAGAGAAAAGAAGTGAGAATTTGGAGAGCTTTGCAATATATCACTGACTCTGGTAGGGGAGCAGAGGACTCAAAGGTACACCTTCAGAGGACCATTTATAAGAGATAGGTTGGGATAAAAGGGTCCCTGGGGTGATGCAGGTTGTTCCTATGAGAGGCACTAGGGATGGGACTGTGTTCAGAAAGACATGGCATACCAATGCCCTTGTGTGAACCTTGAAGCATCAAGCTGGCCTGGAGGGCACCAGCTTGACAAAGGTTTGGGGTGAGACATAGGAGGAGTGAGCTACACCTGAGCCAGCTGTGGTACAGGTAGCGCTGGGCAGAGCAGGATCTAGGACTCCAGAGCAAAGCAGTGAGAGAGGAAATGGGCAGCTTCATTGCCAAACATGAAGAGGTCTGCACGAGCCCTGGAGCAGGAAAGGGCCATCTGACAAAGCAACCAGGAAAGATGCCTCATGGCTGAGAAACACTGGATGGCAGGGAGATAAGGCACCGCAGCAGTGCAGGCTTGGGGGCCGTTCTTAATGAACTGAGTTTGGCTAACCTGTCTGCCAAAGAAAACCTCCCCATTCACACACAGCTTAGCATCTATTTGCAATCTGCAGCTGGGAACAATGTCAGCAGCTACTGGATCAGATACGTATCTTTTCATTTGCTTATATCAGAGTATGGGGGGAGCGGGAAGGGAGAGAAAGACAGATCTCATTCCACGCGAACTTACAGAGACCCAAGGAAAAATGCTTGACTCAAAAATCTTATACCACACATTTTGAAATATATGTTTACGAAATGATAAATGGATAAACAACAAGTTGATGGAGCTACTGCAAATCCAAATAGAAAAGTGGCTTAATTATATGTGCACCCTTTAAACCCGCTGCTGGAAAGATTATCATATTTGCATTAGCTAGATTTGTTTTGTGTTAGTGGTAGCAGAGAGAACATCAAACAAAGACTGCCTGGAATTCAAATGTTTTCAGGGCGTGGAAAGCTGAATCTAGGCATGATGGCCCCACCACAAAAGAGCACAAGCTCTTTTGCATATAAATAAGTCTTAAGAATGAGCGAGTTCTGTGACACAGGCGTGTAAATACCAGTACAACAGCCAAATTCTGTGCCTACCATGATATCCAGCACATGAAAAATATCCCAGTCCTTCTTTGGTGTAAGCTCTGCTCCTCTTCTGGTGTGTCTGGTGCCTTTTGGGGACTGTTAAACTCTTACTGTCATAATACAGGAGAGGAAAGCTTATGTTTTTTACATGCTTTCCAGAGCACCCATGACTGGTCATTATTGAAAATAAGATGGTGGTTTAGATGATCCCTTCATCTCTTTCATGATGGCAGATTTTGCGCTCTCCTCAAGACGTATTTTCAATCATGGAGACTATGCACTTTGACATTATTGCAGATTTACCTTGAATGGGTAGCTTCCTTCATGAAAAAACCCTGTAATGGGTTGTGGAAATGTCCATTGACAATTATTCCTTGGGTGAAATGTTTAGACTTTAAAATGACTCCTTGTATTACTACAACACTCACAAAGGTTGTGATAAGATGCATAGAAAATGTTTCATATAATGTCTGAGCAAGCAAGCCTACAATACTGGCAGGAATTTCTGAGTAGCCAGGAGATATCTGAAGCCTAACGTGAATTCTCCTGCTGGCTTTTGTTAGCATTCAGAAAGCCAAATGGAAAATGATCACTCTGCTTCATAGCAGGATTTCCAGTCATTGAAGTATATCTTTGTTCTGACTTGGAATGAAAATGAAACATTTCAAAGTTCTCTGAAAAACAGGCATTAGAAAAAGGGTTTGGAACATTTTTAAAAAAAAAAGAAATGTTTTGATCTTTCCTAAGCAAAAGAAAAAATGTGCTAGAAAAAGGACACTGGTAACCCAGAAGTCCTAGAGACCTTGGAGGTATTGGCTGAGCACAGTGCCTCTATACTGGTATCTTCAGACCTCCTAATCCAGCTGGTTTTCTGTGCATCCCACCTCCAGGAGAATGGGTTCCTTGGGACACGGCCATGAGTTCGTTCAGGTTCAGGAGTTCCCATGGGACCTAGGAACTTAAAGAGTTTTGGATCCAGGCAAATCTAACAGACTAGAGACAGGATCCATCTCACCTGGCTTTAACCATACAAAAGTTAGACATCAAGTTTAAACTAGTCACCTGGCTTTCCTGCAGTCAATGGTGTGCAGTAGGCAGTCCCAGTGGATAATTCAGACCATAAAAAATTTATGTTATTTCCTGGCATTTTGATGGTTCCCCATGAAGAGTCAGGTTTATCTCACACAACAGTCTGTAACTGCGAGGCAATTAAATTGACATCTCTGAAAGTTTGGTTCAAGTTTTGCATTTATCCCATCATTGGTATAATCTGGGTGAAAAGTGGGTCTGCAGTGGGTCTGCCACTCTGTTAACTGCACAGAGGGGGTAGAAATGAAATTTCATTTAGGTTTCCTTCCTTCCTTCTCTTCTCCCTCCCTCCCTCCCTCCGTGTTGGAAGTCTGCACCTGGTGCAGCTGCAGCAAGAGATCTCAAACCAGGGATGAAATCCACAACTGGCAGGCACTACGGACATTTCTTCTGTGCAGTGGCATTATGCCAGTTTTACTCCAGCTACAAATCTGACCTCTCCAGGGGGGTTCTTTATAAGAAGAAAATTAAAGAATTGCAATGAATATGTCTAAACTTCCTTAGACATGCACAAAATAGCAACCACAAATCCCTTGCTGCGATTTTAGAAAAAATTACTTACACTGTCTATGCAAATAAAGGAGAGATCCAGAAAATCAACTGAAATTTTAACTAGCATTTGTGATTTGCAAGCTGATGGCATATGCTAAGAGCATTGCCTTTGGACTTCAGTTGCCACTGCTGGCTCCCTGTACCTCCACAGAGGACATTTTTAAAGGCCAACACCATTTAAATAAGCAAACGGGAAACAGCAGCTTGTCTGCTCAGGGTATAAGAAAAGATCTGAAATATTGCTTGCTTTTTGGGCTACTCGAATCAGAACATATTAAAATATCTCATGCATCTGTACTGGCTTTCTTAAAGCACCAACACAGATTTAAGCAGTCGTTAAAGAGTTTTATTGGACTAACCCTTCATGGAACGCTGCTATGTTGAAGAAAACTTCTGCAATTGGTTTAAAAAAGAGATTACTGCAAAAATAGTGCTTTCAATCAGTAGTATACCCTGACACAGAAAGATATTGCTGAAGATAAGGTAGTTTAACTTCCTACTCACAGCTAGCAAGAGAAAAATACAATTTCACACTTATTGAAAACTGATTTTTGGTCCCCAAAAGCATCCTGAATAAGTTGTAAGAAGCACAGACTGCCCAGTCATTTTAAGCATACATAGGAGCAGACAATGAAATAGCTGGCGGATTTAATTCTCCCCTCAGAAATTTAAGAATTCTCTACCAGTGGGTGACAGGATCCCACCCAAAACATAAAGACTAAATTGTTCTTCCAAAATAGCAGAATTACAGTTCCCCCACAGGATGCATCTGGGAAGAAGGGGAGGAATATGATTCCATGAAAGAAACAAATCTAGCCCAAATTTTGCCCCTGTTGAGTGGGAGATCTCTGCTAAAGCTCTACAAAGTCAAGTTTGGGCCAAACAGTGACACTAAGAAAAAAATATCACTGGCTGCCTTTGGGCTACAAATCAACTTGCCAAACATTTTAAGGATCCCTGGTGCTGAGAAAGTTCAGAATGAGTTTGTACATGAAATGTGTATTCATGAGAAAATGCAGACAGAGTAGTCCTGGAAATCGATACGCCCACAAAGCTGACATCTCCAAAGAGAAACTGAGAGGAACTACTGTAAAAAGGTGGGACTGAGAATTGCTTCTGATACTAAATGATATCTAGGAAAGAAACATCTGCTTATTGAGCAATTTAAACAGGTAATACTCCAGGGAGAAAGTTGAGGAGGAAGGATGATATGATGTTTCTATAGTTTTCTATTGTTTGACATTAACCGTGGATCTGGACTAGAGACCATGATCACCAAGCAAAAGCTTCATTCTGTTGAAGAAAGTTTTGCAAGACTTTCTTAAGTGCTTTCCAAACAAAGGAGCAATGGCAAGCAATCCCTTTCTTTGCACAACAGCTTGGGAGATTTTTCATTTCTTGGATTATCAGAAGGTTTCTGTGTGCTGGTCACAGTTGTTGTGTCAGCAGCTTTCTCCATGTAGTTATTGCTTCTAGTACTCACCAGCTCTGATTTTGTGTCCTCCCCACTTGCAGGTGGAAGCACGCCTCCTGGCATAACTGCACCAGCTGTGCCTAGCATCCCATCTCCAATTGGGGTGAATGGTTTCACTGGCCTCCCGCCGCAGGCTAATGGGCAGCCCGCTGCAGAAGCCGTGTTTGCTAATGGCATCCACCCTTACCCAGGTAAGCCAGACCAATGCTGTGCCCACCTGCTCCTTCCATCTTAGGGAGTTTGTCCACGTCCACAGACTTTGTCTAGCATGACCTACCTCAGAAGGACTATACCCCACACCATCAGGGCTCACTCTAGCATTGGTGTAGTTAGGTCTTACCCAGCTACAGTTGTTATACAGTTAAATCTGGGTGATAGACATCAAGGTCATGTTGGAAGTGGAAAATTTTTATGCTGAAGAACTGTGTGCTCATCCGCTGGATGACATGTCTGGTGAATACAATCAGGACACCCAGCATGTTTTGCTTTAACTAAAATTTGAACTGAGGCCTGACTAATTCATGCTGGCACATCTCCTAGCAGTACTCCCAAGGGTCTTGCTCCTGGCTGGCCTTGAAGGAGCTTTGCTAAGACTGTTTGCATCTCCTAGCACCATTGGTATCTCCTGATGGGATTCCTTTGCAGCCTTATGGCTCTGGGAGGACAAGTCCAGAGGGTCCACACAGCTGCTGACCTAAACTGCTCCATGCCTCAGACCATGCATGCAGGCAGCGGGTATTGGTCTCCAAAACGCTCACTGCATCCAAATCCTGTCGCCTTACCAGGCCTGGAGACTGAAGCTTCTTTAGTGAGGTGCAGCTTCACCCTTTTATGGCACACCACCAGAGAACTGCTGCTGGGATTGGGACTGTGACTAGCTCAAAAGATGCCAGCACTGTAGGATTGATTTTGCAAGCCCTGGCAGTCAGGGATGAATGCGGGAGGTTAAAGGATACATACTTGCCTCTATAGCTGTACTTACAAATATATGGACACTTTGAGGCTGTAATCACCAAGAACTCAGTTTGCAAGTCCTTGATGGGCACCTACATTTTTTCAGAATCCTCAAGATTTGAGATAGCCCTGTCCTCCAAGCTGTACTTCTGCTAAGAAGACGTTCCTTACCATTGCTGTACACATACTAATAATACAATCACAACAATACAAATTTAGGTAAATGTTACTAATTGTTCCTAGCCACCAGCTGGCAAAGGAGTATTTTGCCCTGAGGCACTCATAGATTGATCTAGTCTGTTAGGAAATCAAACACTGAGTCAGATGCTCCAGCCAAAAAGCCCACAAAACCCCTAAGAAAAAAAATTCTTTCTATCTCAGCCAGTCCTGAAAACTCAGAAGATTCAACATCACAGGGGACTTCATGAGCTACATGGAAAAATATCACATAACATAGAAACACAAAAGTCTTACCTAGTTAGAGTTCAGACAATGTCACTGAAAAAAAGCCACCCTGTGAATACAGCAAAGGAAAGCCCAGAAATACCAAGAGTATTGAAAAATAATTATCATCCTGCACACATACACTTTCTAAACATTTAGCCATGAGTTCAACTTTAAGCACAATTGAAATCAAGGTGCTTACTGTGCTAAAAGTTTGGCATGTATATACATGTTTGTAGTGGCTTAGAGGGATGGGGAGCTCTTGGAGGCTTACGGAGGCATCAGAAGATTGCAGGGAGCCCTTAGTACGCTCAGTGAGCTCAACCACAGCACCAAGAAAGAACCCTGTCTTTAAGGCTATATAATTATAGCCATCTGTTCAACTATCCATCTATCTAAGCATCTACCTGTTTGCCAGTCTATCATCTCTCTGTTTACTCATCCATTTCTATGTCTATCTTTTCTTCTGGTTTATCTAGCTCCTTTTAGCTAATCTTCCATCATCCATTACTGCAGATATCGGAGAAAAGATGTTCTTTCTAGGTGAATCTTAATGACTTGAGCTTTTGTTACTGTCTCCAGCTACCCCCATAATTAAAGAAAGCTTTCAGTTACATATTCTGTTCTTGGTTATATAAAAGTCAATGACCTTAATCTGATTCTCTCTGAGTTTTGGAGAGACTTGCTCAGCCAGCAATTCACAGTGAGTCCCTGCACAAACACCAACAACCTAACACACTGAAAGGTGACAGTCATTCTTGCTTCACTTTGCTGCAGGCAGAGAGGCTCCTTTCTGGCAGTAAAGCTGACATCCAAATAGTCTGCTTTGTGTAAAGTTTGGATTTATCTCGGTGTGTCTTCAGCAATATATTGGTATTTCTCGGTGCTCAGCTTCCCCATAACTTAGTGACGTCTTAAGTTATAGCAGAGGTATAAAGGGAACAGTGGCAGGCCAAACCCTCACCTCTCATTTTACTTCTGCTTGTCCCCACTAGCAATGAAACCCTGAAAGCAAGCCCCTTTGTAGCAGTTTGGGTGTAGGACACATCATGTGTTTGCTCTGTCTTATTCTCTTCCTTCTCATGAGTATTTATGCACTCTCCAAAACTTTACTCCTCACCACAGGCTTTATTGAGGCCTGGAGCTTAGCAGCATAAAAAAAAAAGGATTAGACATTTATATGGGTAATGAGAATATCCACAGCCATATTAGACTGGATAAAAATGTGGAAAGGACACAAACCTTCATGCTTTATGATATAAGCCAACCACTAATTGCTTGGGGTTAGAAAGAAATTTTCATCGCTGGGCAGCTTATTCCATCATTGTTCATTATGGGATTTTTCGCACTTCCCTCTGTAACATTTGTTACTGGCACTGCCTTGTGGTTCTGCATGTCTGTGTTTCTAAATGCAAGGGTAGAAATAAAATATTAAAGCTGAGCATGCAATTGCACTAACATTATAGAAAAGAAAAGAACATGCCAGTCCCCATCCAAAGTCAGCATCTTCCAAACAACTTTCTTTTATGGTATATCTCTCATTCTGAAAGTGGCTAAGAGTGCTGCAGCATTATGTACATAATCATAGTCTTGCTACGATTATGACTCGCCATTTATTGTTTAAAGCCAGAATTTTGCTCTCAGATACTCTTTAATATTCCACAAAAAACTCAAATGTGGGTTCACACCATTATATCCAGTAGCAGAATGTTTTCTGTTGCCTGAAAACAGCAAAACAGGACAATCAAAATCTGTAGAGGCATGACATCCACATCATTCAGACCCAAATAAATCCCATTAATTGTGCAGTTCGTCTACACATCCACCTTTGTGTCTAGCTATAATATTTTTGATGCTTCATCTAAAGGACTCCAGAAGTCCACAGTCTTTGCACTATAAAAACAGGTCCATATCATGTAATTGTATTTACTCTGTAGTTTCACTCTTTTTTCCTGTCTTCCCCTGTGCTCTTTTTTTAAGATTCTTTTTGTCTGGAGCAGGGACAGACACGGTATCATTTGAGTCAGGCTACTGAACCATCCATGGCTTTGGGGCAAAGGCAAGAGCAGGTCGAACATCCCTACTCACCAGGTCTCTGATCACAGCCCCAGTCCCTGCAGGAATTAGTTTTTTTGTGGCTCTGGCCAGGCTATGCATCCATGCAGTAACACTAGAAAACAATTACTTGCAGGCATACTCTTTGCAAGCCATGCTTTCACCTTCTCCAAGCTCAGCCAGTACATAATGCCTCACAGTGTGCATTTTGGCGTGGACAGAATAACAAGGGATTAAGTATTTCCCCTACCACTAGTCTGAGCCCCTTTGGAGATCTGACCTTTTTGTGTATTAATGCCTGCCCTTTAGTCTTTCAGCTTGCAAAGCTATTGAACATGGCAATGTGTCACAACATATAGTGGGGACAAAGAACATAATCTGTTGTGCCATGATCTTGTGAGTCACTTTGTAGCAGTGCAAAAGCATTTGCCATTTCCACATTAGCCATACTAACAGGGATTGCGCTCTTCTGCCAAATCTTCTTAGCCACCCGGAGCCCAGTGCCTCTCTTGTAACAGTGTGTGATGTACAGTAACAGTGGGCACCATCTGCACTGGTTCCTGCTGTGTCTCACACCATCAGCACTCTGCTCTCTGGAAACAAGTCCTGCCCTACTGGATTGCATTGTGAGGGACTGGAGAAAATGTTCGCTCCAAAAATACAGCCTCCTTGGGAAAAGAAGGGCAGGGAGAGGTGAGAAAATGTGGAGAGCAAAGGGCAGCAAACAAGAGAAAGAAGGGATTGGCTGTCAAAGGATCAGTGAAATGAGGGAACTGGAAGGAGGCACAGAGCAGAGCCCTCAGAAAAGAGTGAGGACTGTTCTGTGGTCTTCTGCGCAGTGATGTGCCCAGGAAGAAGTGGAAATACACCCCATAGCATCCAACAGCTCCCAAACAAACTTACTCCTCCTGGGCCAAGGGATGTCCAGCTTGAGCAGAGCCAGGGACAGGTCCAGTGGTGTGGCAGCTTTATGGAGCCCCAGATGGGAAATGCTTTCCAGGGTGCTGAGTTCTTCAGTGCATTTGGTCTGGGCTTATGTTGCTGAGGAAAACAAAAGCAAAGTTCCCTCAGTTGCTCATAATACATTAAAAACGTGTCGTCTCATTTACTGTTCTCAGGCACTCAGTTGTTCTGTTTCAGACTGCCCACCACTGCCAGGACTAGCTCTATCTCTCCTCTCTGCAGACATAGCAGAGGTCCCCCCACTCCCCTTTTGTTACACTGTGGGTACATCTGGGCTAGCAAGACAGCAAGATCCATTTCATACCCTATTTGGGGTCCCATCCTCCCCAGTGAGGACTAGCTGTCCGTACGAATGGGCAGCCAAGCCTTTATGCCCACATTTCCAACCCACCGCTGAGATTGGCAGTAAAGGTGTCCCCCATGGATGAATTCCTGTGCTGTAGAAACTCATGTCTTAGGAACTGAACCGAGACCATCAATTCATTTTCGTTGGCTCAACAAAGAGCTATCAGGCAGTAACCAATTTCACCCATTGCCAGCAGAGACAGGATTCAAACTCCATCTGTAATTATTATCATTACCCAAGCTAATTTTGTAGGAGAGGAGTTGCTGGCATGCTAATATGACAGCCTTACTATTAGCTTGTCAATTAGCTAGCAGCGCTGCTGATGGACAGGCTGCTGCTCTGGACCAGTCAGTCCAGGATCAGTCCTGATCACGACAGACACCATCCCGTGGCATTGGGCAAGATCAGGGCTTCACTTGTGCAGGTGAC